ATGGCCTCAATCTAAAAAAAAAAGACTTCAATCTGAAACACAATTGGAAACATAAATACATTTTGGACCTTTAACTGTAATTTCTATGTACATGACAGTTTGGGCAGAACTTTTCCCATAATTTGATTTTTTTTTTTTTTTACAATTTAAGCCCAAAGAGTTGTGCTGACACATTTGCTTCATTATGTGCAGCAGATTTTCTTTATCATGGAGAGAAAAACAAGACGCATTGTTAAAACTGCACTTCTTCTACTGAGATATCTCAGAGTAGTTTAAGTAGTGCACTTAAACTACTTTATATTGAGAGAAAGGGGCGTTTCACTGGTATGGCCCTACTTAAGTAAATTTGAATGTGGTATGTTGTTGCTGCCAGACGGGCTAGTATCAGTATTTCAGAAACTGTTGATCCACTGGGATTTCTCCACACAACCATCTCTAGGGTTTATAGAGAATGGTTCAAAAAAGAGAAAACATCCAGTGAGCGACAATTCTCCAGGTGGAAATGACTCAGTGATGCCAGAGGTCAGAGGAGAATGGCCACACTGATCATAGCATGGCAAAAGAAAAAATGAAAGGTCCACTTCTTGCCATCCAGGTATGGCCAAGAGCTCTCAAGCCTGAAGCAGATGAGTTACAGTAACAGAACACCACACCTGGTACCATTCCATGTCACCTAAGAACAGGATAACAAGATATTTTCTTGACACACTTATCGTTTAAACACCTCAGCCTACCTGAGTATTGTTGCTGACCAAATCCATCCCTTTATGACCACACCCACAGAAAAGCATCCATCCTTTGATGGCTGTTTCTCACAAATCATCTCAAACTAGTTTCCTGAACATGACAGCAAGTTCGCTGTACTCAAATGGACTCCAAATGTGGTGGAGCAGGAGATTCACATCATGGATGAACCACATCTTTGAGGAATGTTTCCAGCACCTTGTTGAATCTATGCCATGGAGAATTAAAACAGGCTGACGGCAACGTGGTACTAGCAATGTCTACTTAAGAGCTAAAAACAAGATAGAGGAGGATGAACAAATACGCCATAAATTAAGAACTCACAGCTGATTTAAAACAAACATTTTTATTTTGCATGTTTCAAATAACCCTGCAGATATTTTAAACAGCCCAAGTGTGAATAACCTCCACTTTTGAGAATGCAGCCATGATCTTAGTGACTAAAAATCACACAAAATTAATAACAAACAGAAATAAATAAACACTAAGGAACACTAATGAACGACACAGACAAGCTGTTGATGATGAAAGGAAGAGAAGATGAAGGGAATTATGTTAAAAAAAAAAGGTTTAGTATGTTACAAGGCCACATGCCAGCACGGTAGAAGTAACAATACACAACCTGAAACCAGAACAGCCTCCAAATTGTAGTGTTCTCACATCAAATGGTTTTGCATGTATAAATGTTACTCTACATATAAAAGTGTTTTCAGTTCGAGTGCAGCTGTTTTTATTTGCTTCTTGTTTATGTGGCAGGAATCTGAGGGAGGCCGAACTCATCCACGAGCACACCATCCTGAACACAAAAGAAGAAAAAAACATCAGCCATGAGCAAAACACTTACATTTCAAGTGTTACTCACTTAGCAGGTTTGTGTTTAAACAATAGAGTGGACTGGAAAAAACTTAGTTTTGCACATTATAGCTAATCTACCAAACACATACACAGGATTAGAAACTGGCACCAGAATTCGTGGCAGGTTTAATAGTTTGCTTACATACACAGCCACACCCCAAAGGTCCATTTTGAAGTAGGAAAAATTCTTTATGATTACTTTTTATTTTACTTTCATGTATTTTCCACAACCCTGCCCTTCATGTCACGAAAACTGAGCTCTGTAGACTGTCACCTTATTTGTCTTGCTGTCACTGGGGATTCCCTCAGGGATAGACGGGGCAGCTGAGGCCTCATCCAGGTAGGAGGTGTCATCATCCAGCAGCAGCTCATCACCCAGTGCATCCAGCTCTGAAACCACAGTGGTACTGTCACTGTAATACTCCAGATCATTGCTCAAATTACACACTAGCAAAGAGGTCTTAGCTCCAATAAAAAGAGATCCAAGCTGTCCTGGAAGCTCCACATCGTGGATGCTGAAATCTGAGAAAGAGCCCCAGGAGGCAAAGAAGGCAGAAAACGAGTGTGATATAAAACAGAATTCAAACAACAGTGCCAGTGTATCTCCTGAAAAAGAAATTTTATGTGTCTAAATACAGGATCATAAAATATTGCCTTCCCAGAATGTAACTAAAAGGCATTTTAGATAGGTTCTAGCAACCCTCAAGTGGAAGGAGTTGAATGAATGGGACAATAGAGGAACCCATGGATCCAGAAAGTCCAGACTTTGTTTCCTCTTTTTTCCTTTATATAAGGGAAACTCAGTCCACATAAGCTCCTCGGATTCACAGAGGAGTCAGATTTCACAACAAGTGACACAGGACAACCATTCACATGTGGCACAATGGATCACACATTGGCCTTCTAAGCATACACTTAAGGAGTGATTCAAAGGTTGTGGGTTCAAGTCCCACCAGAGTTGAATCTTTAACTTTCCCTCACAACAGAAGTTAGACGCATCTAACGAAAAGGCATTTTAGTTACTGGGTTAAGCCTCAAATAACAAGTCGGCATAGACAAGGCATGTCTATGCAATAGCTAGCACTTTTAGTAGATTTTTAAATTACTTTAGTCACTATTTACCACATTTTTAATGGACGGATCACAATTGACAAAAAATGGCACAGGGCATCCTCTAGCACCTGGCAATGGGCAGTGCATTGAACTTCTAAGTATACACTTCAGGAGTGATTCAAAGGTTGTGGGTGTGAGTCCCACCAAAGTCAACACTTTTAACCTCTTCTTAATGTAAAAGTTATGTAATTCTTAAGAACGGAACTACAAGGCAACTTCTAACTCAAATAAGAAGTCCTCATCACTATACATGGAAGCTAATAACTTAGCATTGAGCTCTGGGATTTTAGCATACAAGAAGGGATTTCCACTCTCCAGTTGCTTAAAAACCAAATAAGAGATAAGACAGTTTACATGTACATGTTTACATGGGTGCTTGTATGTGGTTGACTGTATCTCTGTGATAAACAGATCCGAGGTGTACCCTGTGTCTTCCCCTATCACAGCTGGGCTAGGTTCTAGCAACAATCCAGAAAGTCTAAAATATGTTCCCTCTTTTTTTTATAAGGGAAAATTATGGAGGAGCTGCTTCAAATTGACAGAGGAATTAGATTTAAGAACATATGACACAGTACAACCTTTCACATCTGGACCGTGCATTGGACTTCGAAACAAGCACTTCAGGAGTGATTCAAAGGTTGTGGGTTTGAGTCCCACCAGAGTTGAACGTTTAAATTCTTAATGTAGAAGTTACATGCATCATCAGAAAGTAGTATTGGCTTTTTAGGCCCAATATAAGGACTCTGAATATATAAGGTGTGTCATTGACAAGCCAACACTTTTAGTAGATATTTACATTACATTAGTTACTATTTCATTAGCGTATTAGAAGCACTGAAGCATCAAAACGAACCAAATAGCAGTTTGTTGATACTAACTTGGGTAGATAGATCATGATGTGCATAAGCATGTATCAAATGTTTGAAATGGCGTGCACCAAATTGTCTAACTTCCTAGAAATAGTAGAAGAAGAAACTGTTTTGTTTGATGGAAATAAATGCCACTGTCTGGATTTCTCAGAATCTTCCAACTGGTGTGTTTACATGAAGCATTTTTCTTGAGGTTGGGCTTTTAAATCGGTTACTCTAGTTCATGTTAAGATTGCTATTGTTATCTCATAGTAAAAAGGCTCTGAATTCCACTCCAGCCCGTGGCCTTTCTGTGAGGAGCGCTCCTTGTGTCAGCGTGGGTTCTACCACAGTCCCAAGTCGCACATGGGGTGACAGATTGGTGACCTGTTGCTGACCAGGGGTAGAACCTGCCTCTCACCCCATGACAGCTGGGATAGGCACCAGTGCCCCCAGCGACCCTGAATCAGATAAATAGAAGAAGTTGGATGGATGGCTGACAACTATGGAGGAATCAATGGATCTTCAAAGTCCAGATTTTCCTTTATTCAAGGGAAACTCAGTCCATAGGAGCCACTTCAACATACATTTTAACATACCACTTTTTTAAATGGTCAGATCACATCTGACAAAAAGTAAAACAGGTGAACCCATATCTGGCTCTGTGGCGCAATGGATAGCGCATTGGACTTCTAAACAACCACTTAAGCAGTCATTCAAAGGTTGTGGGTTCGAGTCCCACCAGAGTCAAGCCTTTAACTTCTTAATGTAGAAGCTACATGTTTGTTCCCAACTTTAAAGTCATGTACATCTTAATACTGAAACTACTACACAGGACAAGGTCACACATCTGGCTCTGTAGCGCAATGGCTAGCGCATTGGACTTCTAAGCAAGCACTTCAGCAGTGATTCAAAAGTTGTGGATTTGAGTCCCACCAGAGTCTAACCCTTGACTTCTTAATGTAGAAATTACATGTGTTTTCTTAATGTTAAAGTCATGTACATCTTAATACTGAAACTACAAGAAAATTTTCTGTCTCAATTAACAAATCTGTATAGACACCACTATCCATGGAAGCTAATCACTCAGATGTGATGTCATCACATAATCTGAGACTTTAGCATCCGAGAGGGAATTTCCACTCTCCAGAACCAAAAATAAGAGATGACTGTGGGATTACCTGGAGCATCCAGGTATTCTGCAAGTTAGGTTAATTAGTGTGAAAGGTTAATTGCATTTCTGTGATAGACTGGTGAGAGAGAAGTGGAAGAACCTGAATGGATGTGTGAAAACAGGAGGCAATTATGGATCCAGAAAGTCCAGACTTTGTTCCCGTCATTATTCCTTTATTCAAGGGAAACTCTGAACCCAGAAGCTGCTTCAAATTCATAGAGGAATCTAATTTGTCAACAAGTGACACAGGACAAGGTCACACCTCTGGCTCTGTGGCGCAATGGATAGCGCATTGGACTTCTAAGCATACACTTAAGGAGTGATTCAAAGGTTGTGGGTTCGAGTCCCACTAGAGTCAAAAGTTTAACTTTTCCTCACTATGGAAGTCAGATGCATCTAGAGAGTTGACATCTCTGTGGTGTAGTGCAGTGGCAGGGTGGTTAGCATCATTGTCTTATACCACAAATGTCCTGTGATAAACTGGTAACATATCCAGGATAGATCCTGCCTCTTGCCCTATAACAGCTGGGCTGGGCTTACCGTGTCTTGGTGGTTAACATCATTGCCTCACAGCAAGAGGGTCCTGGGTCTGAATCAGCTGGCATTCCTGTGTGGAGTTTGCATGTTCTCTGGATGGATGCTGATACCATAGGGAACGGCTATATTTTCATTACATGGCTATATTTGAAGTTCGTCGCTCTAGCTATAGGTAATACATCAGTCTGTTCCACAAAAACCAAACAAAAAAATGTCTGGTCACACTGGCTCCACCCACAAAATATGTCACTGGACATATTTATGTGTCACAACCAGAGATGGGCAGTAAGGCGTTACAAGTAATGCGTTACTGTAATCCGATTACTTTTTTTAAGTAACGAGTAAAGTAAGGGATTACTATTGCAAAAAAGGTAATTAGATTACTGTTACTTTCTCGTAAGCACGCTGCGTTACTAAAACCATGATTTTAGTAACACAGAGAGTATGAGCGTGCAGCGTTTAAAGCGTGGAAGTACTGACCTTACTTTGAGTTTGATTCAGTAAAAAGTCACAAAAACATTAGCAACCGCTGTTCACTGCGTGGGAAGAAAACGTCTTTTATAAACTTCCGAGCAAGCACGGAGTACGCTGCAACGGAATGGGAAATTCACAGACAAACTCGCAGATTCTTCCACTAACTGCTGCGGCACACCTGCACCAGGGCAAACATCCGCCTGATATACAGGTGAAAATAGAGCAACAGGACTGCTGAGTCTTTGATTTTATTTATTTTCTGCTGTTTCACTTGGATTTATTTGAAAGACTGAGTGTAAACACAAAAAATATTTTATTTTATGTGCTGGAATGTGTAGAAAATAGGTTTAAATGTTAAACAAATTTCTTCCAGTCAGAGAATGTTGCATATAATTAAATTTTTGCTTGATGCATAAAGTTAAAAGATTAAAACTAATAAAACAAGTTTTAAAAAGAGACTTTTCCATTTGATTACATTTTATATGATGGATTATGCAGAAAAAGTAGAATTGGGCTGAAAGATCTATCGCTTTATCACCTCTTCAGGTTGTAAATCGTGTTTTTAAAAAGTAACTAATTAATTACTTTTGAAAATAAGCAATCAGTAAAGTAACGGGATTACTTTTTTGCGGAAGTAATCAGTAATTAGTTACTGCTTACTTTGTTCAAGTAACTTGACCAACACTGGTCACAACACTGCGACTGTTCACTTTAATGCACCCTAAATGAAAAACTGCCAACAAAATGTACATTTACCTGCTTCAAGATCCTCCTCATCGATGTCTGGAGTGCCATAGCTGCGGCTCAGGGCTTCTTGTACCTCATTGGCTTCATCCATCATGTCCTCCAGCTGGTCCTGTAAATCCTGGAAGTCCAAATACTTGTGTTCACTTTTAATGCCTCAACTGTGAGATTTTAACTTTTATCCTGCATGTAAAATCATAATTTTAATTTCATCAGTTTTTAATCGACTGCTGCACAAATAGGAAGAGAGAATCACATAACAGCAGGGGGCACTGAAAATAAATGAGACCTATTAAGTGTGTTGATTAGAACTCATTTAAACAAAACTATTAACTCATTTTGTTACTGCAGGGTTCTGAAATCAGAGCAAGTTTAATTATACAGTAAGAGCTGATAAATTGCTGAATCTGGCTGCTGCTAAGAGTACAGTGTAAGTGTTGCAGAAATGTGATGTAATGTGAGGGGATTTTTCTTACAATTGATGCTTCGCATGCAGTAAGCAATTCTCCTGGCCTCAAGTATCTCCCCATTTTTGGCTAATGACTGCATTCACAGTTTAGACCAGTGGTTCCCAAACTTTTTTTGCTAGGCCCCCCTTTGTTTTACAAGAAAAATGTTCACCCCCCCACGCGCACGCACACATCCTCCAACCACACACGCCCATATTTTGCTCCATTGTGGTTTATTTCACACCTCAAACATTTAGTAAACAATTAAGCAAATACAAGTAATCTGCAATAAATGACAGGTAGTAATAAAATAAACTACTAACTCTTTTACGCTACGTCCACGCCTACACGGGCATTTTTGAAAGCGCAGCTGTTTCGTCCACACGTAAACAGCGTTTCGAATCACCGAAAACTGAGATTTTTTAAAACTCCTTTTTTGCGTTTACGTGTGGACGAGGAATGCAGAGTTCGTCACACAACGTCAAAGGTGTGTGCCTTTTTCTGACTATCTGCAGGTTTTACACGCTTACATACACACACGCAGTTACTGTCCCTCCATTTAGAAAGGCAGAGGCGTCACGGTGTGATTATTTTACGTGTAGTTGTTTTTTTCCTGTGTAATAATATTCAAATCAAGAACGTAGGATCCTGTTTGTCCGTGATTTGAACAGCCCAGCGCTGCTCCCGACGAAGGGAAAACCAATTCTGCAGGGAGACCTACCTCGGCACTTGTGCAGGTGAAACCAAAGGGAAGATATGCTTCACCATATTTTCTAGTCATTGGCTTAGAATGAAGTTGGTTTGGAAACATATTCAGCTATGCTTCATCTCCTGCTTTGCGTTTGTGTGGGCGCCCCGTGCTAGCAGTGTCCAAGCATTTTGTTTTTTTTCCCCTTTTCATACCGCACCCCCCCTGCAATGGCTCTGCAGGGTCCCACACTTTGGGAAGCTCTGGTTTAGACAAACATACATCAATCTGATCAAGTCTGACGTCCTTGTAAGCCTTTTTCATATCCTTGGCACCAATCTTCATGGCCTCCACCTGGGGACAAAAAATACATGTGGATTTAGTTGCTGACAACATTTTCTCATCAGGTACAGACAATCTGAACACATCCACTACCACAACCAGGGAACTTTCTAATGAGATTTGTTTAATGAATGGACAAAATCAAAAGCTTAGCGATACAATATAGTATGTCAGAAATCTAGATGTTTGGTACGTATGAAAGCTGTGATTTGGAAAAAAGTGCTTAACAGCAACTAAAAAGTTGGAGTCTTGGAGTCATGCTGTGTGACTCTTACTGTTGTTTTGGTGTCCTTTAATGTCTGGATCGTGTAGTTTGCCTGCTCCATGTTAAAGGATTGTTGAGCCAGCTGCTCCCTTTGACCTTCATACCTATGTAAAAACAATACAGATGCTTTAATACATTTGAGTCTTTACATACATTATTACACTCCTATGTTATAGTAAAATCAAGAGCTTTTCACACCCCAGCCGTCTGCAAAGGGTTGGTGCAACAGAGTAGGGTGAGATAGTCGGCTGCAAACTGCCCCAGTGCGAACTGGAGGTCGTCGCTTGACAAAGACAACAGAACCACATCATCTGCAAAAAGGATAGATTGCATCTGCAGATGGACCTAATGCCCTTGACTTCTTAGCTGCACCAAGAAATTTTGTTTGTGAAAGTTATGAACAAAACTGGTGACAAAGGACAAAACTGGCCAAGTGAAACACCACTGGGAACAAGTCTGCCTTAATGGAAGCAATGTGACCAAGCTGCCACTAAAATAAGCTGCTGCTTTTTGAGATAATTTGGTTCTGTTAGTTTCATCGAATGACGATCTTCAACTTGCTTACACTCTTTGTTGCATTCAGTGTTAGCAAGCTTGTTTGCTCTGAGGTACTGTAGCGGTGAGCCTGATTGTTTAATATGACATGTGAGCTGTTATGAAATTTTACAGCTCCAATTAGAGAGCCAAAAATATTTAGCCCTAGGTTTGACATCTATGATGTTAATAATCAACAGTTACAGCCCTAAACAAAGCAGTTTTTATTATTACGATAGACATATGACACAATAATTCGTGTGTGAGACATTTAAATAGTTGACTTCATTTGTCTCTCCACATTTGCCTGATTTAGTTCACTTGCTCACTCCTTATATAAGAACTCACTTTTACTACCTCCTCACGATGCTTTGGGTTGGCAAATCTGGTAGGAGGAGAGTCGTGTTTTGTTTTCTTTCAGATTCAACACTTCATGCATTGATGCTTTCGTCTTTACCTGTAACGGCTTCTTCTTCTTTCAGATGCTCCCTTTAGCGGATCATCTGCCTTTATCTCACCCTACTCTGTCACACCAACCCTTTGTAGGTCCTCTTTCATTAAATCTATAAACCTCCTCTGTGGTCGTCCTGTTTAACTCCTTCCTGGAAGCTCCATATTCAACATCCTTTGTCCAATATATTCAACTGGACCTCCTTTGGACATCACTCAACTATTGCAACCTTGACGCTTTAATTTCACCTCCAAACTGCTCAACCTGAGCTGTCCCTGTGGTTACTTCCAATACAAACCCTCAAAATCTTTAACTCTGCCACCTCCAGCTTGACCTCTTGTGCCACGATCTCCAAACCACACATCATAGCGGGTCTTACAACCATCTTATAAACATTTCCTTTCACTATTGCTGTTATCTTTCTGTCACAAATCAGTACCTGCAATTCACTTAAATCGTATGGTGAAATAAACCTTTGTTTAGATGATTTTAGTTTACAGGCTTAATTTTTTGTTCAACCTAATCTCCAAAATATTAACATATTAAAACTTTCCTCTTATTTGCCAACATCCACACTATATCTATCTATCTATCTATCTATCTATCTATCTATCTATCTATCTATCTATGTGTGTGTATGTATCAGAGAGGCTATCGCGCTCACATCTTTGAGATAAAGCATACAGATGTTTGCACAGTGAAGGACTCACATTCTCTTCTGCTTCAGGACTCTCATTGCCTTCTGCTTCACCATGTTCTGCAATTGAAAGCAAAAATAAATAAATAACATCGATGTATTTGTCTTCTAGCCTTTTAAACACCCAAAGTTAACATCATGTGTCCTACCTTCGAGGGCCCATCTCTCATCTTTTTCAGCTGATCCTTGTACTTCAAGAGTTCCGCATCTAGCCTGCCAATTTTCTTTTCAATGGACTCAGCCCTCGCATCCACCTGGAGCGAGGAAGAGATCAATTAGAGGTAATGATTTCCAGCGTCCTGGCAAACAAAACACTGTGCTAAAACGCCATGCCTGTATGTGGGTGCATTAGAAGAAAAAAATTAGAGAGGTAAAAGCTTGGAACATAATTGAGAGCTGTGGTTAACAAACACATCCCTACTTCACAGTCCAACCGAGGCTGAATGTCTTTTATTCCAGCCCAAAGTGCTGACTAACTGTAGCCTCTGAGCTAGTTGGCACGGATGCTGTTTTGACAAGCCTTTTGTAACCATGCTAGCTATGCACCGCTACCGTTAGGTCGCACAATATGGACATAAACAACAAAAGCTCACAGGCTGACAGTACTCACAGTGCCGATACAGTCCGACAGGTTCGCAGGAGGCGCTTTGGGTTTTCCTCGTCCGAATATTCGGTTCATTTTCTAAACGTCAGCCTTTAGCTTACCTTAGAAAACACAAAAAGCATCAAATGCAAAGAGATTTTTTCATTGAAGACACCCGGAAGCAACGGTTCAGACGCAAAATATTTCCATTGGTTGGTGCAAACGCTTGTGACCAATGAGATTTTAGACGCGCTATTGCCACTTAGCGGTGAGCAGAGGCACTGCAGCTTCCAGGGAGAACCTTTTGTCCCCACAGATTGCATCCACCATCAGGCTTTGTTACTCCCCCACTGCAAATAAAATGGCAACAAATGTAGGTTTTACTTAGATTTTAGATTTTATCTTTTAATCTGGTTCTTTCAAGAGCATGTTATTATTTATTGATTGTAATGTATAATCCCCAAAGACTAAAAACTGCTCTCTACGGAGTAAAATTCCATTGAAATGAGTAGTTATAGAAAGGTTGGTACTGCGTTATAATATGGCATCTTTTATTCAGGATTTGTAAGTTGTAAATTTCATTACTAATGCTTTGCATATCTATTCTCAGAGGTAGAAGTATTCAGGTCCTGCATTCCAGTCCATGTAGAGAAAAGGTGGAAGTCATGCAAATTAATTCCTCCTGGTTCCTGTAATAGTTTTTAGACTTTTACATGTTTAAAAATTATTTCAAAGAATGGGCCATATGTAACTTTTTATAGAGTCATTACTCCAGACAGAGCAGCATGCTGGTGCACTTATTAGCAATGCCTACCCAGAGCAAGAATTTGAACCTGCTAGTCAGCTGTAGTCACTGCATGTTTACATTTTCTCCATGTGCCTGAGTGGGTTTTCCTGGGGTGCTCTGGTTTCCCCATACAATACACAGACATGCATGTCAGGTTAACTTGCTGTATAGCTGTGATGGACAGTCCAATCTGTTCCCAGTGTCAGCTGAGGAGGATTAGGGCTTAAAAAGATGAATGGATGAATGGTGACTCCAATGGACAAGGCAAATCTGAGGGATTCTGAGATGTCTTTTCTTTTTTGATTAATTTAATGATTTAACTCTGGGGTGTCAAACACAATGTGACGGAGGCTAAATTCTGTTTTGGGTCGGCAGGTTTTGAAAAACATCTCTAGTTATATTTATCATGGATCAGCACACATGACACTTTGGCTCCTTCCTTTCTCAAAAAATCCTCCCCAGCACTCCATTTACCTTTCATAACATCCCAAAACCAGTCTTCATGTAGTAAGATATCTATATCTATGTCCTCACTGGGTGCTATTTTAAACAGTTGTTAATAGCCTGTTAATATGACATAATTACATATAATCTAATACACATAATTCTGTTTTCCCAGCACTTTCATTTTTAGTATATGGCTTATGAGGCAAGCAATGAGTAGGCACCTGTTCAATCCTTATTAGAAGGCAGAGCTTATTACTGAACCTGGCTAAATGTAATGGCTTGCAAATGCACTTGCACCTTGGAGAGACAGTGAGTAGAAAAATGCAGTAATCTTTGTAATTATAGCTGTCAGCTTCAACAATCCACGTAAGGACCGACTGATTTAATTTGCCTCTAAAATCCTTCAGAATCCCTTTTATCTGTGCACCATTATATTTGTCAGCTGCTGTAAGGAGGGGCACCTCATCTGGAAGCCTTTCACAAATGGCAACTGTAGAAATAATGAAAAAAACAAACAAACAGTCCTTTTGTAATAAAAAGTAAATAAAAACCTGCACAGCCGATGATAGTGTTTGAAAAATAAAGTGGCTCATTCTTGGCTGTGTGGTGGCTGCAGTTGGGGAGCTGCCTTTGTCGCTCCAAGCTCATTCTCAGTGTATTTAAGTTTTCCTTTTTAGCTACGAGACAATTTTCTTATCTCTCATCAGCAGGATAACATTTTTCATTTGTGTCTATCCAGTGTTCCAAATATTCTTTATTTTTTTCTCAACTGTTGCAATTATTGATTATGATTTGCATTACAAAGCATTACAAAGTTATATATTGTTGAATCAACAACATCCATCCCAACCTCTTAACTGTCACAGGATATCTGACTTTATAAGAGCAACATAAACAGTTTTCACATTAGGCAACATTTTATTTCAACTACCATAAATAAACAGCGAGTGGATAGTTAAATTGTAGTAGAAATGGCTTTAAGCCAACTTTTAACAACTATTGTTAACAATTTAAAAACAAATTAAAAAACCCCAAATATTGGTTTGTTCTTTTCCCCACACCTTCAGATAGTAATAACCCCGTCTTAATCACAAGCTCAAACACAAATCAAGACAAATCAACAAGATAAATAAAAAGATAGGAAGGTCACAGCAGCGCCAACATATCATTAAAGTCCTCACACAGGGGCTGAACTTACAGTCAGTGCAGATTCTTCCACGAGGCCGACTACACAAAGTGCCATACAATTAGCACAACAAGCATGGACCTCTGCCTCTCCCTCAGTGTGTTCACCATGGAAACATTAACATTGTATCTGAATTGAATTTACTTAATAATACCTTGAAAAATTGAAGCACTGAGGAGGTGGGCTATACAGTTTTCCTACCACTTTTTTTGACAAATAAGCTTTAAAAAAAAAAAAAAAATTCCTTGTGCCCACGCTGATATAACTGAAGACTGAACTGAAGCTCTCCTTTGTATTCACCTTGAATCTCACATTTCTCAGCTTTATTGTGACTTAGTTGTGCATGTGTGAAACGTGTTTTTGACATCCAAAGCTCAAAGATACATCAAAATATGTCCAAACATCCACAGCAGCAGCAGCATTAGACATTAATGAGCTGATATTGTGCTGCATCAAATAATGTAATAGCATTAGAGGAATAATTAAGAGAAACATATCATAACAACACATATCCTCTGTAAGATGGTAATCCTCTTACATAATGCTACAGCTACTAAGCTCATATGGGATAAACTGTACTTTAAGAATAACAAGTCTTAAACTGTAAGTGCTAAAATCTACCTGCTATTTTATTTTAAACAAGCACAACAGCTGAACTCTGGTGCAGAAGATAAGGCACACAAACAAGGCACAAAACACAACTTCTGCTATAACACTATATCTTTATCAGATTTAAACAGGTAAATATATTACATTACATTTAAGAGTTTATTTGATTAAATCTGGGTGACCTGATGGCTACTAGAACAGCTACAATAATAAGTTCAGCAAACAAGGACGAGTCAGTAAATCGTTTTACAAAGATGAAATAAAGACTTATCATAGACCATTGCGAAGCACTTTGAACCATCTAAAATGGAAGGAATTTAACACACCATAAAAAAAAACTTTCGGTATTTGTGTGCAGTGAAAGAGCGATGGCCATAATAACAAACTGTTTCATACAGAATGTCTGCGGCTGATGAAAAATGTATGTAAAGCTGAAAGAGCCGATGTGTTGCCATTAGAATCTAATGCTCCGTGTCACATTTCAGCACATAAACTCACAAACACACATTTACCAAGCCCAGACTATGGTGACAGGTTGAGAGGAAATTTACAGTATAGACATTAAATTGCACTAAATGCTGAAAGCACTGTTGTGTAGATACAATACACTGTTGTCCTGATGGCGATTGCCTTAAAGCCCTCTGCCCATTTTTTTCCTTTTACATGCAGTTCTAGTTTCAGAGTAGATGAGAAAAGGCGGACACTGTGTCCTGTTATCTCAAAGAGACTGCAGCATCACAGCTCTAAATGTTCAAAGATGCAGTTAATACAGTTCAGCTTCAAACTGAACCTACAACTGAAGAACAATACCTACTGATGTTTTGACAACGAAGCCGTCGTCAAAGTCAAGCAGCGGGTCAAGGAGAAAATACTTTGATTCGCTCTCTTCAGCGTTTTAAGTCGTGAATATCAGAGGATTACTCCCTGAGAGGCTATTAAATATTCTACATTAGTTAACTGTCAAAGTGAAAGGACTATTCACACACTTTTAACACCAAAGCACCAAACTGCAATGCACATCTATAAAACAATGACACACAGTAATGCACATTGTTCCCAACATCATCAGGGACAGTCCCTTTCTTTTTTTATCCAGTTTCTTAAAGAGCTTTGATCTTATTCATGTTAATATGAAAGCCCAGACAGTTTACAGGTCTAGTTAAAAAATGTGTTTATCTTCTTTAAACATCTGGCTTCATCTTTGCAGTGTTGCCATCAACAATGTGAAAAGGTGCAAAAATTGCATTTCCTCAATTGGCCACTCAAGGCAGTCTCCAAAAGCGAGTAGTTCTCCACAGACTGCGGTGTCAAAATACCTGACTTTAATGTCTTGATGCATGCATCAAGTTACTAAATCCCAACAGGTTGATTCACTGGGCTAGTTTCAGTCATTGTGCAAATGTACTGTTTATTAGGTTGGGGAAACCTAAAGTCAGCTGAGACTGAAGAAGTCTCTTGGATGAGTGACGAAATGTTTCTCCCACTGAAAACGCTACGTCCAGATGAACAGAATCAACCTTTTGGGACTCGACTTTAATGTTTGCAGTAAAAATAATGATTTCAATTTCTGTAGCTAATTTCCACATTCACAGCAACTAGACAGGGATGGGTTTTTGTCTTAGTTGTTATCCTGTTTGTAACTAACTCATTTTATTTTTGCATTAAGGCTTAAGGATACAAGGAGTACTGCAAATCCACTTCACAGACCTGGACTTCTTGAGTGTGTTTGTGGGGTCAGTGTTATATTTTTGATGCAATTTTTTGGCAAATAATATGGCTTTCTGAAAAGACTTCTGATTAATGTAGTATTTTGCCTGTATACGTCTTATCACTATTTAGCATGGGCATAATCATGATGCATCCCACTATCCTTTGAATATGATTTCTTTTTAAAAAGAAGATAAAAAAAAACACAATAAAAAAGTAACATCACGCTTATAATGATAAACTTGCGAGTGGGACTTTAAACTATTTTATACTTAAATATCAAAACCACCAACAGGTTCATCTTTCTGTCAAGAACTTTTTTTTACATAACTTGAACTGAAGCCTATTCATGTCTGTGCATCTTTTAAAAATTTAAGTCGTCTCTGTGTACTATTACATACAGTTCATTCTTTTAAGGCTTAATTATCTGTGTTCTGTGGTCTCCAACACGACTGAAGTGTATTCCTTGGTGACTATTTTAGTGAGGAATTAATACTTTTTAGCGACTTTAGTGACTCATTCATTGCAGCAGAGTAGCGTACAGAAAATTAGAAGCTCCAATCTTTGTTGGTTGTGACCTTTTCATGGGATTTGTGTAGTAAGAATAAAACATAGATTAGCACCAGGCTAATCTTTTAAGTGAACATGTTTTTGGCTTATTTGACCAACGTGCTGGATACAGAGCTAAAAATCTGGCCCTGACTCTGGCTTTTATCTCAGATAGCTGTAGTGATTTGAGTTAAGCCCAGCTCATTGGAGTCCTCCCAGCTCTGATAGGGCATAGAGGACATGTCCATGGCTAGTCATACGGGCCTGGCTTGCTTTACGCCTCCCCGAGCTTCTGCAGGGCAAGAATGATCCCGCAGAGTGCTTCTCACACGGCTCACTCCATGACAGTCACCTTGTCCTTGTGTTCTGGGACAGCAAAAGTCTCTGAAGCATCTCTTGAAGTTCTCATCCAGGAAAGCATAGAGGATGGGGTTAAGGCTGCTGTTGGTGTAGCCCAGCGCCACGCAGAAGAAGTAGGCAGCCATAACAGCCGTGGTCTCGGGGACATTTGTTGACAGCGTCTTGACCAAGATGAAGATGTGAATGGGTGTCCAGCACACCACAAAGACAGCGACCACCACCAGCACCAGACGGGTGATGCGACGCAGGTTGCGGTCCTTCTCGCGTGAGCCTGACAGCAGCCGCACGCTCTTCAGCCTCATGACCATCAGAGTGTAGCAGACAGTTATTATGATGACCGGTGCCACAAATGCAAAGATGAAGACACAGATCTTCATCAGCGTGTCCCAGTAGATGTAGGGATCAGGGAACTGTAAAGCACACTCTGTAGTCCCTGTTAGTTACAGAAGAATGCAGTTATAGGAACACACAGCAGGAAATGCTCAAAATGACACGCTAATGTCAGATTGACATGTTCAAAGTTACATGTCAAATTGACATCTTTAAAATTGCATAGAGATGTTTAGTGAATGGTTTTCTTGTGTTTATTAGCATGAAGGTGATGGATATGAAGGAAGTGTTACTCTCAGGGCATTAATAGCAGTAAAAAAAACATATGACTTAACCCTGTAACTCCAAATGCTTTATATCTGACACATGAGTTATTGTGAGTTTTTGAGACCTCCATCGTCAGTGCGATTTCTTTTCCCCCCTGAACACCTAATGCATTTCACAAAAATGCTGGATGTAGTGAATATGATTAAAAGTCATATATGCAAATAGGTATGTAAAGTCTTTTTTTTTTCTTTTTTAATTGTCAGAAGGCTCTAAACACTCCAGTTTAAAAAACAAATTGAATTTTTCTGGAAATTATTTCCCAGTTCTGGCTTTACTGGGTTAAAATTTAACCGACCCGATTTAGGTCAGTTAAACTGTTTGTAAACATTAAAGTCTGGCTATAAAACACTAAAATACATTCATAAACACCATGAAAAACTGTTTAGTTTCTCAGACATTTTACATTCACAAGCCACTTGTTTGGATAGAGCTGTTTATCTCTTTGTTAATGTAAATATATAATCAGCTGATCACCATTTAGACATGCAGACAAGTGACTTTAAACATGCTGTTTCATTGAGAATTTCAGGGACAACCATGGCTTGTGTTTATGAGAAAATATCTCATAAATATTTTTGCAACACATTGGAGAAAATATCCAATGTGTTGCAATTCTCTGGGTGAAAATGCTTTTTGATGTCAGAGGTCAGAGGACAAAGAAAAGACTGCTTTGATCTGATGAGACAGCAATTCAAATGACCACCGATGCAACCACTCCTGCAAGCTAAGACCAGGTAACTGAGGTGACAATATGCATGACACTAGCAGACTGAAAAAACTGGTGAGTCTGGTGGGTCAGAATTTGGTATAAATGACATGAAAGCATAATCCTGCCTTGTATCAACGGTTCAGGCTACTGGTGGGGTATTGAGGTGAGAGATATATTCTTGGCACACTTTGGGCTCCTTAGCACAAACTGAGCATTGTTTAAACACCTCAGTCTACCTTATTATTGTTCCTGAACAACTGTCCCTTTATAACCAACGGTGTAGTCATTAACAAATTTCCCACATGTGGGACTAATAATGGTTATCTTATCTTATCTTATCTTATCTTATCTTATCTTATCTTATCTTATCTTATCTTATCTTCTTATCTTATCTTATCTTATCTTATCTTATCTTATCTTATCTTATCTTATCTTCTGATGGTTGCCTCCAGGAGGATAACACACAATACCATCATCCCAAACTGATTTCTTGAAAATGACAATGTGTTCGCTGTGCTCAAATGGCCAGCAGCAACTGCCTAGTGCTATCATGTCAAGATGGACCAAAATCTCTGAATGTTTCCAGCGTATTTTTGAATCTGTGCCACTAAGAATTCAGGCAACTATGAAGGCAAAGAGAGGTCCAGCTCAGCAGGTGTCCCAAATAAAGTGGTGTGTATTATGTTCTCAGTAGACATAGTTTGAAAAAAAATTTCAAGCTATTTTATCCTTCGTTGTGTATTTGATTATGATTATGATCCTTTTGGGCTCCTTTAAATTCCTGTCCTGCCACCAGCATGGCTTAGAAATGACAATGTGAGAGAGATCCTGTGATGCATAAAAGTTGTCAATTGAGAAAACTAAAGTCCAGAATTAGATTCATGAGCAAGTCTTTGGATAAAGTGTCTTGTACTCAATAGAATTTCATTGTAAAGATGAATTTCAGACATTTGCTGAAAGAAAATATGTTCTTCTATTATAACCTTTCTAAAGGAAGACCCATTTTCTCTGTCATAGCTTCAGCAAATCAAGTAGCTAATAGGCTGTCATCAGACCTATAGAACACCCTGTTCATTGAATGTGAAGTAGCCAATTGAGATAATTCTCAGCTGTAAATTATATAGAGCTTTTAGCATGAAATCGCATATTAGTCTCCTTAGTACAGAACAAGGTAATTTGTCTCTACAGCAGACAGACTATAAATAAACTGAAATATAACCAAAAAAAAAAAAAAAAACATATAAAAATTTGATAAAGAACAGAGGTAGGGTCATACCAGTGCATGAAATGGTCATACCGTTATTAGTATTGGTGCTGCCCAGTATCATGGCAGGGATCCCAGCAGCCGACGACAGCACCCAGATGATAACATTAATGATCTTGGCCTTGACGGGGGTCCGGAAATCCAAGGCCTTAACAGGGTGACACACAGCTACGTATCGGTCCACGCTCATCATGGTCAAGGTGAAGATGCTGGTGAACATGTTGTAGTAATCGATGGAGATGAAAACTTTGCACGCTATCTCGCCAAACGGCCAGGAGCTGAGCAGGTAGTCGGTGCTCTGGAAGGGCATGGTGGTGGTGACCAGGGCGTCAGCCACGGCCAGGTTAAAGATGTAGATGTTGGTGGCTGTTTTCATTTTTGTGTATTCTGGGGGGGGGGGGGGGGGGGTGGGGAGAGTAGAAGTAAACACGATTCTCTTTGATTTTCTTTCATCTGGGGGGAAGCGAGAGTGATTAAATCATGTGTTCAGTATAATAAAGGGAAGCAACATGGGGGAAAACCCTATCTATCTATCTATCTATCTATCTATCTATCTATCTATCTATCTATCTATCGATCGATCTCTGTGTGTGTATGTGTGTGTGTGTTTGAAACAAAAAAACACACTATATGCATGCACTATACAGTTGCAGAAACGACAAAAATCCAACATTTGCTTCATTTTAAACCTCATTTCTGTTGATGTATGTCCCAGACCCGATTAGAGGTGATACCAAACTTAATGCTTTTCTGAAAACACATGAGCAAACACACTGCAAAGGACTTGATCAGTGCGCACCGAATTCCCATTTTATGAGCTACTCCTGCAGATACGCACTCGGTTTCAAGCTGATGATCATGCTCTTTCACACAACAGATAACACGCTTTCAAAGCTGATAGCTCACCTTATGATGACATACATCACCAAACAATTGCCGACTAAGCCCACCACGAACACTATGGAGTAAACGGCGACTATGATGGGGATGATGGGCGACATTGGCTCGGGTTCAGCATCCCAGGTGCCGTTGGCAGTGTAGTTGAAAATATCCGAAGGTTGCCAGGTAAAGTTTGGGATGCACTCCCCCGGCTGGCCCGAGGGACACCGGTCCTCTTTGAAGATGTGCACCACGTTGCTCTCCATGGTGCTGAAAGCTGCCGCCGCCGCCGCTGTTGCTGCTGCTGCTGCTGTTGGGCGTAAACTGACCGTTCAACTTAATTTGGTGCAGACCAAGACAGCAGAATATCTGGCGACTGTTTAAAAAAAACAGGGCAGTTTTTTCCATTAGCACATACTGTGGGATCTGTGTGAGAGAACAAGAGCCAACACAACGCGCTCAAGGACATAATTACACAAGTGTGACACCACCTTACCTGCTTTCCCGCTTCCAAAAAAGTTCATTGGAATAAACCCAGGCGGATGAGCAGAAGTGCAAACACGGACTGAAATCCGGATGCGAGGAAAAACGTGAGAAACAAAAGGTTTCCGGGTAGTTGGCGAACGCACAGCACAATCCACTGGCTGTGCCACTGCTGCGTCCCCGAAGGTGCGCACTGGAAGCCCGCACTGCTCATTCAGTGACATCAGAGGTAGCGCCAACAGATATGACAGAGTATCCAGCCAGAATAAGGACTCTTACCACAGGAATAACAGCTAGATAGAAACACAGTCCGTTTATCACTCTTTTATCTAAATTTGGACCATTTTTGTTTTATTTCTGGTACTTGCATTACTAGTGACTAACGCACTTTGACCGTTAAACCACCCTTTAAGCTACACAAAATAACGAAAATAATCTTTAAAATGTATTTTTTTCCTCTGTGTGTTCAAACATAATGTTATGAATTCCTGTTTTTGCGGCCAACTGACGTGAGAGCTACCACCGCAGTGCAAAAAATACAGAGTCCTGGTTGCTGAAGGTTATAAGACATTTTAACGCAGACGTCAGGCGATCTAACCAAAAAATTATATATATGAATGCAATGCATATGAAACAGCCTGAGCGGAAACGAGCGATAACAAAGGACGCTACTTTGCGCGTGGCTTCACGGGAAAAAAGAGGGGGAAAAGTGATCGTCACCTCATCAACATTCTTGTTTCCAATTTTGACCGGAATTAGTTTTGCTGCAACAGTAGAGATGTCTCATTTTTCAGCTTTGCCTTTAATCTCCGTAAAAACATTTTCCTTGCGCATTGTCTCTTTTATTGATTTAACTTTACCCGAAAACATGGATCTACTCGTCCACCCCACAATAACACAAAATGTAAAAACACTGAGATGTCAAACTAACGAATCACTACCATCCCAAATAAAGAAAGCACCAGTCCCGATATTACAGGCTATTCACATGTAACCTGTCTCCCCCTTTCTCCCCCAACAGTCAGCAGACAGATTCCAACCAGCACGTAATTAAGCGTGTGCTGTTTCCTTTCCTTCGTTTCATGCATTGACAGTTGTTGCTTAGAGACCCATCATGGTCAGGTGTAACTTGAGTGACAAGGCCTTTTTGTAGGTGTGTTTCTATTGTCAAGGACGGACTTGACTTTGTGAGATGTCCTGTGTTGTTGTTGTTGCTTTTTTTGTGCAAATATTTGATGCAAATCCCACTTGAACCTTGAGAATCGCATCGTTTTCCTCTGCGAGTGAAGGAAGGAGGCAGTTACAGTGTTTACCCTCAGTCTTATAAGTGCAGTGCCAAAGGTCTGTTTGCACATAGATGCAATCTGCTACTGTTCCTCTGGCACTTGAAACAGTTTTATATATATATGCATTTGCGTTCCAGAGGAAGAGAGGAAATGTATGTTATGTAACTTCCTGTAGATGAGGTCAAGAGGGAATTCCTTTTCGCATTTTCCTCCACTTTGCATAGTGAGCCCAAGACCCTATCTCTTCAGTAAGATGCTTCACTTTAACGATGAAACAACTTTCAGTGAAACAACCCAATTTCACTTTTTGTTGGGGATTTCCCAAATGATCTATTTAAAAAAAAAAATTCTTTCAAGAGCTCTTCACCTGCTGATTAGTGTCGCATTTTGAAATTTTCCATTTATTTAGCTCCATTTGAAAACTGTCCTTCCATATGCAGTATTAGTTTCCACTTTAGCATTCACTGAAAGATTGCACCAACAGAAAAAAGATAGCTACGGTTTGCGTGCAGCTTTTGGAGATTAAAAAAAAGCACAATGTGCTTCCCAGACACAACCTCTTCCCAACAACAAAGTAATACTTCTTTAATCCTACAACTATATTATTGATTAATCTTCAGAATATCTGCCTTCCCACCCACTCTCGGTTACACAGAGGAAAAACTGCCGCTTGCAGAGCACATATTCACCTGGTTTAAAGCCTTAAGGTTACTGTGTTGTTTCAGCAGTTCAGCAAAACAGTTAAGAGTAAGTAAGAGGTCAGTTTAAAAGGTTTCTTCTGTAATCCAACATGACATATTTTTGTTAAACACATCTGTCTGCCTGAAGCTGATGAGTGAAGCTACTGTATTTTAAAAAAATATGGTGAAAGATGCTAAAATTTTCCACAGAGCTGCGGGATATTGTAGAGCCAGGTGATAAATCTCTGTGGGTAAATAAATCTTACACAATACACCAAGTGACATCACCATCATTATATTATACAAAATGGTCTTATGAAATGTGAAATCCTGTGAATTCAGTTGAATTTGATTTTATTTATTTATTTATTTATTTATTTATTTTAACACTCTTTAACAGTATTCAGTACCTTGCATGTGACGATAAGAACTTTAAATTTAACTGTTGATTTAACAGGGAGCTAGTTAAGAGAAGCTAATAGGCACAATAGGGTCTCTCGTTTTTGTCCCTGTTAGTAGTCGCACTGCATCATCATGGATCGATTGAAGGCTTTCAGGGAACTTATTTTTTAAACAACTTGATAGCAATGAATTAAATTCAGCCTCAGAGTAACACATGCACAAACTAGTTTTTCACTGTCACTGTCACAGAGATGAAAGAAATAAATTCTACATATTTGTTTATTGTGCACACTGAAGGACATATCCTGGCCAAAAGTAACTCCCAGGTTCCTCAGTGTTATGGAGGGAAAGATAATGCCAGACAGAAAAATGGTCTTTCAACCCATTTCCAGCATTTTGCACAATTTTGTGAATAATAATTTAATGTTAAAAAAATATTCTACATGCTCTATTTTGCACCACTATATACTCCTCTGAAATTGTCACTAGTTGTTTTTTGCAATGTGGAGTTTCTTTAGTAGTGTGTAGTCAAATATGAGACTTTTTTTTGTATTTTAAAGAGCCAGTACTCAAACATTTTTTGATGCATCTGTCCCAAATTACAGCTCCTGATTCAATTTAATGGTAGGAAAGGCAGGTGAAAATATCATGCTTTTATCTTTAATAGTTTTTCATGTTCATCATTGCCTCAGATTTCAAAGAGAAAGAAAAAAGGCTTGGAAGTGGGAGAACAGTGCTTTTTAAAAGTATCAATATCTAGAAAAGTATTCGATATAGGAAACTAAAAAATCACAGGAATCATTATACATGTCTGGACTTTAGAGCATAATGTTTTTAGGCAAATCAGAGACGGTCAAGTAATGAATGTTTTAAAAATGTCCTGTTTCGAGATGGAATGTACCACTCGTTCATAGTTTAAGTGATTTGTGTTATTTGGCTTAATAACGGCCTGTGGCCAGGTATCCACTATATAGCAAAGAAAAAAATACAGTATTTTCAAATAATGTTGGCTACGGGAAATAAAAAGATAATGGTCCCTGTACAGAACCCTGTGGAACTCCATGACTAATGTAGTAAAATGATTAGTAGTATGGAATGCTGCAACTCTTAAAATAAACAGTTCCTTTGCACATGATTACCAAGCTGTTTTATAACTACCGTATTTTTCAGACTATAAGGCACACTTAAAATCCTTTAATTTTCTTAAAAATCAACAGTGCACCTTATAATCCGGTGCGCCTTATGTATGAATTCTGGTTGTGCTTACTGATCTTGAACCGATTTTATGTGGTACACGACACTCAAAAATCTGTCAAAAAATGTTTTAGTACCACTTTAGTAAGATACGAAGCCATACTGCTTGATGGATTGTCGGAGCATTATGACTACTGTAGTCAGGAGCCTCAGGGAGTAATCTGGGTCCAAAACTCTGTGTCAAAGGAACACTGCAGCATCACTGACAGTTAAAAACTGTGTAAAGTCTTTCATCTTTAATAAAATGATCAGCGTTGCTGCTTTATCAGGTGTAACAATTAAGTTTAACATCCAGGCACCCATGAAAACAGAACATATACAATTTAACGGAGTTAGAAGTTAGCTCGCTAGTTTCCACCTAAACATGATATACCATGTTCTGACTGAGAGATTTCTGAAAAATTAAAACAGACAGCTCTGCTATCACTTCCAACATAAACGAAGACAGAAAAGTAAACAGCAGTGACTTTTGTAGGGTTAATGAAGTTGGGCTAGCTGGTATATAATGATGTACTACGTGAACGCTAGCGACACAGCTATGTTAGCATAACATAAATTATGTTATGCTAACACCTTATAATCCCGTGTCCCTTCTGGTATGAAAAATATGGTACTCTTTCAAGATTTTATTTTATTTTTTAATTAAGGACGGTTAGAAATCAGTATCTAATCATTTATAAGGCGATTTTCAGCAGTGTTAATTAATAGAGATAAAATGATCAACTAAAATTAAAATTGAAGCATTAATTAATTTTAAGAGTTGTTTGAACAGCCTTGTAAGACTGGGCTTTAAAGGGGGAAATAATTAAACATGAAGGACTTAATAAAAACAATAATAAAAGCTTTTAAAGGAAATTGCAAATCCACAATAACAATTTTAATTTTCCAAATATGTATGTTTAGTGTTTTGGTTTTGGCTGCTTCCTTTTCCTAAAGAAAACTGAACAATGAAACCATCACATCGAAGTGGGTGCTATTGTTACCACAGCTAAAATCACAAAGCAGCATCCACATGTCCATGATAATACAGCACTGGCAGGGGTGGAGGTGTGGAGTTGACTGTTTTCTTTTTAATTTGCAAAGTACAGATGCTTAGCTTAATATTAACTGCTGACTCATTGAAGATAAGACTTATAATTTAGACTGTCAGGATTTAGTATTTTCGCAGCAGCTTTCTTTAAAAAGAGAAACTGTCACAGTTTAAATATCCAAATGCAGCATTATTACCTTGCTAAATAAATGCAATGTGCATAAAAGAGAGCAAAAGTTTGAAATACTTTTTAAGCCTTTATATTCTAGATGATTCTAATCTGTTGTTTTGCTATTTGTCTCACAATCATTATTCCACTTTAGGCACAGTAGATAGAAACAGGTTACATGTTAAGCAGCAGAACATGGGACAGCTGTTCTGCTGCTTAACAGGACAGCTGTTTTCTTCAGAGCCATTCAATAAAAGCCAGATGTTAAAACGTATTTTGGTTTACAAAATATATTTTAAATATGGAATACTAGAGACCATTTAAATTGTGAGATGACAAGGATACATATGCTGTACATTCCCACATGAAGAGGGACATTTGGTTACCACAACCAACTAAAAAAGCACGTTTCTAGAACTTTTTAGGTATTAATAATAACTAATGATTAAACACGGAGTAGTATATAAACACATTTGGAATTCAATTTTGGATTTAACAGGCAGCCAATACAGAGATGCAAATAGTGAAGAAATATCTCGCCTTCTAGTCCCTGTCAGTACTCTTGCTGCAGTACTTTGGATCAACTGAAGGCTTTTCAGGGAGTTTTTAGGACATGCTGATAATTATCACTTACAAGTCTAGCCTAGAAGTATCTAATGCATGAACTAGTTTTGGACTTTTACCCAAAGAGCTCAGTTTTTATTTAATAAATCCTGAATATGTTTTTCCTTGTACTTTTAGAGTCCATTAACTGCTGTTTGACAAACTTCAGGCAGGATGTCATGTGTATTTTACTCAGCGTGCCTTCTGTCTAACCACTCTACTACAAGCGCCTAATGGAAGAATTGCTGCTGATAATCTTCTAGCAGGTCAACCAGCCCCTTGCAAAAGACTTCTGAAGCTCTTTTTGTGTGACTGTTGGGTTCTCTGTTACAGGGCCAACATGCTTTCTTACACACTGTGTCTCTCTATCTCTTTCTATCTATATCTTTCTATCTATGTATATATATATCTATATGTATCTATCTATCTATCTATCTATCTATCTATCTATCTATCTATCTATCTATCTTATCTATCTATTCTATATCTATCTATCTATCTATCATCTATCATCTATATATATATATATATATATATATATATATATATATAATAAATAGAATATAAGGACGGCCGTAGTGATCGATGTAGCGGTTCCGAATGACAGCAATATCAGGAAGAAGGAACACGAGAAGCTGGAGAAATACCAAGGGCTCAGAGAAGAGCTCGAGAGGATGTGGAGGGTGAAGGTAACGGTGGTCCCCGTGGTAATCGGAGCACTAGGTGCGGTGACTCCCAAGCTAGGCGAGTGGCTCCAGCAGATCCCGGGAATAACATCGGAGATCTCTGTCCAGAAGAGCGCAGTCCTGGGAACAGCTAAGATACTGCGCAGGACCCTCAAGCTCCCAGGCCTCTGGTAGAGGACCCGAGCTTGAAGGATAAACCGCCCGCAGGGGCGTGCTGGGTGTTTATATATATATATATATATATATATATATATATATATACTATATATATATATACAAGATATATTTAATAATATGTGATAGATTATATGTGTAAAATCACAAGACCCACATATGTAGGTCAGATATTATCCACAATTATATATAAGTTTGTGAGGGTGAGACAATAATTATTAGTTTAAATTTAACACTGATCAAGCAAAAAAGACGGAATGGAAAAATACTGATATCGCCCAGGATGCTTTTTTCCTGTCTGTCATTTCGTGTGTCTGTGCTGTTTGTGCTTAAACCCCGGGGTTCACATCGCTTTGCTTTTTTGCTATTATTTTGCTGTAAAATGTACTGTTTTTCTGTTCTGTGTATTAAACTCTGTTCCAAGAATTCTACTCTTTTGCACAGGATCTTTTTGAGTGATTTGATTTTGATTGGATCTGAAAAGCTGGACCTCCACATCGTTGGCATAATAAGGTTATCATATTGGCTTCAGAATTTGCGACCCAACAAGAGCCTTGTTAATTTTAGCAATTTCACAATTACAGAGGCCACTGTGCCTTTAAGAGCACTCTAGGCTACTTGCTGTCCATCACCTTACCATAGGTGGGCTCCACTAAAGTTTAAAACACACTTCAGTGAATATTAAATCAAACGGGATACATCTGACCACAGTATGAAGCATCACAGCAAAGGTTTACGACTTTTGCAAGAGAGAAATTTCCAAGAGAGAAATTTCCAAGAGAATTATTTTTAATAAATGAAGGTAAAATTGTATTAATTATTGAGTGTTTTGAGATGCCAAAAAAGTCTGTTTCTTTTCTTTGATATTAAACACAATAAAGTGTGCAAGCACCGAAGGGGTCTTAACACCTAAAGTTACTGTTCATGCTCAAGATCCTACTCTGATAGTGAATAATCTCAATTTATAGAAGTACTTTATGGGTTTTTAGCACTCTCCTCTCTTTTCCACTCTGGCCCTGGGGCTCAGCAGTCTCTTCCTATTGATGAAATGGGGTGTCATTTCCAAAACTACAGATTACTGCCATCAAGATCAATTTGCAATCACAGAGGAACTCATAATAATGTGTCATCACCCCAGGATTTATCCTCATTACAGCACATTGAAATCTCCTGAGAAAAACAAAGAAAAGCGAGCTGAAATGGCTTTTTGTTCACTGCTGTCCAGTCAATGTTGAATTTCTGCAAAATGTCCTTCTTTTTAACAGCATTCAATTTGATTTTGAAAACTTTAGATGAAAACAATTTAGAGATACAGGAAGATACAGATAGCCTGTTAATGATCTTGAACCTGAATGTGGTTTCTTGCCATCGCCAGCTCTTTTTTCTGCAACAATCACGTAATCATTGATTACATAGCAAACCTGCTGCTGGCTTTCTCATTTGCCAGTGTGTCAGTTCCAAACTATCCAGCCAATTATGAAGACCATTGTATGAAGGCGACAGTCAGAACTTTATATGCAAACCATGTCTCGCAAAGATCATCACCTGCATATCCAGATATCCAGATGGTGTGGTCCCTTCAGGTCTGCTCTGGATGAAAGTGACTTACTTTGTAATGATGTGATTGACGTGCACTGTGTTTGAGCATTTACCTGCAGTTTGAGGTGTTCTGGTTGTACTTTCGAAATGTAAATGTGTGGTTATTGGACAAAAAGTAGTTGCAGTGTCATCAGAAAAATGTTAAAAGAACATCACACAATTTGCTCAGATTGAGTCAATCTTACATGCCTGTTTGACTCTTTCTCTGACTTGCCACCGTGATCTTAAATCTTGTCATGTAATGCTGTGAAAATGCAGTGTTATGGCTGAAATATGTTTTGGGAACATTTTGTCCGTAAAGATGAAAGAATCTGGAGGGACTTTCATTCGATGAATAGAAGGAAGAAGCTACCAAAGGGCCTTGATAACTCAGTGACATGAGGAGACCTGTTCCTACTTCAAAAGGAATGGGTGCTCACACCAAATATTGTGGCTTTTCTGTAAACTGCACCCTAAAGTGAAGAAAACTCACCCACAGTATGGAAAATATGCAGTCAACACATTGTTTGGAGATGTAGCTGAGATATTTGAAACTTGTTCGATCAGTGTTACTGACTTTGATATTTTCAGAGATGAACACTGAACAATTTTGGGATATTTTCTACAGTTTCTAGTGCTTCAGATGTGCCCACACTTGTGGAAAAGAGCATACAGGAGGCAGCCCATCTAAGCTGGCAGGTTAAAGACCTTTAATG